TTGGATGGTTGACATGGCTACATGTCATCCATCTTCTGTCACAAATTGTTTTCTGTTTTAAATGCTTCTTCAATCTGCCCGTTTTCTATTTTCCCTTTGATGTTTAAAGTGCTGTTAGTTTCATTTTTATCCTTCTGTTATGCTTTAGAATGCAAATACTTTGTTTTCAGTTCTACAAATGATTATCTTAGTATTTCATGAACGTTGCTCAATTATATTTTTCCTCATGAAGAGTGGAATCTTCTGGTTTTTATGGAAGGTACAGTTTTTTTTATTTTTATTTTTAATCCTAAAATGATTTAAGACTTGAAACCTCTTTTTTTATTTTAATTTTTTAAATTAAATTTTATTATTTAACCTGTCCATCAATCATTGTGTTATTTAGTCTTATTAAAAACCAAACCAGTTGCTGTATCAGTTCCAACTCATGACGACCCCATGTGTGTCAGGTAGAACTGTGCCATACAGGGTTTTTAGTGGCTGTGATCTTTCAGAAATAGATTGCCAGGCCTGTCTTCCGAGATGCCCCTGGGTGGATTCAAACCGCCAACCTTTCAGTTAGTAGCCCAGCGTTTAACTGTTTGCACCACCCAGGGGATCTGTTAGTCTTGTCAGCAAATATTTCTTGAGTCCCTTCTAGGTGTGATTCAGAGTGTTGGGGATATAAAAGGGAACAAGACCAAGTTCCAGTCCTCAAATAGGGGGGTTAATAAGTATGTAAGAGTTAAAAAAGACTGACGTCAGGTACTGTTTAGGTCTGTGAGGAAGATGCAGCAAGTAGATGAGCTTGAAGTGGCAGGCACGCTGGCTCTTATCTGGGTGTCTTGCTTCTGTTAAGTCTGAGGGAACGTGGTCAGCTGCGGGGGCAGCATTCGAGGTAGAGATAAGAGAAGCTATGAAAGAGACATTTTGGAAAGTACATAACTTTCCTAGGGAAATACAGAATTTTTGGCCATCCTAAATGCCCATTTTAGATTTGTGGCTGTGCAAAAATAGAAAGAGGTCCACTTACTGCAGTTCTGTGACTTTTCTCCAGCCACGTGCAATGTGTTGGACACAGGGATCCTTGACGTGGCTAGTTGCATTTAAGAAGATGAGTTACGTCTTTCTAGAAGAGCAAACCAGAGGAAGAGATGGGCATGGGAGCTAAGGGTGTTTGTCAGAGAATGGTTAAGGAGCTAGACTGTTGATCCTAGAAGA